TAGCACCACGTAGGGCAGTTTGCTGAGTTCTGCGGATACCGCGTCAGGGTCTCCAGCCCTCGTCCTTTTTTATTCGTGCTTGGAACCAGCAAGGCCATTATTGCTTCGTATTGCGTTGAAAATTATATCGTTTAGAGGCGGTCTTAGAAAGCAGTCGCAGGATTTGATTACGGTAAATAGGGGCTTCTCAAAGAAAGTTTCAAGGCAAACGAACTTTGGTTCGCATATAATTCCACGAACAATTTATTTAAATGGCACATACTTAAATAGCTTTGAAACAAACGAGTTCACGCTCGGTGACTAATCCTTAACAAGGCTCACAGCAATTTGCCATCTCATGGCGGTAAATAAATAGCCGGTTAGTCAAATTTTTTGCTCACCTTCCAAACCTACCGCATTTGAACGATAGTCCTTACTTTTACCGAAAGCGTTTCTATTAGAAGGAGACTATGGACGTTCGAATGAGTATATATAAACAGTTCACAGGACACATGCAAATACATAGTATTAATGGAATGATATAAGAGAGAAAAATGTCAAGCTTTTCAACAAAAGCATACATTTCGGCGACGTTTCTGTAAGTACTTGGGTGTTGTGGCATAGTAGCATAGAGGCTGGGTCAAAACTCCAGAGGCGTCAGGTTTGAATCCTGAGCAAAACAAAATTTGTCCTGATCACTGTTTCCAGTGATCAATGAAGTGTTTCATCGCAACCATCTAAGGGGGATCTAGAAAGTCATTATGAAACGATGGCGACATGGTGTTCTGATGTGGTCACACTCGAATGTGTGAGTTATACAGCTTTGATGTTTCATGTACCTTGAGTAGTCAAGCTGAGAGCTGTTTATTTGATAAGATTATGACTAGCGGGTAACCTTCGTTGTCTTCTGTAAAAGTATAAGTATTTAACGTGGTAACGCGTGGTGAGATCCGAAGGTGAGGCGTGCCAAAATCATTCGTATTCATTTGTGGAAGTCTTTAACATTCTTTAGTCTTTACATGAACAACAGAAATAATTGAATGAATGACAGATACTTTTTTGACAACTCTTTTGTTTCCTGGGCTTCACAATTACTCTGTTCTTATGAACACTGAGGCTGATGACCACCAAATAATGAGCCAACATGTGTTGCCAAAACCTGCATTCCACGCGCTGCTGGCACAAGGTAAAGATGCAACTACAAAAAAATAACCACGGTCACAATCTCTGAAACTGATTTATTTACTTAGAATTGACTAAGAAACTGTCTGCTCCCAGAATTTTACAGGTCGATTTCCGCACTACCAGAAGATAATCGTATATTTATGGAAAATCGTTGACTCCATGTAGAGAGATTTTTTTGTATCAGAATGAAATATTTATTTGTTTCTGTGTAAACAGATTAATATTAAGAAGTTACTATCGGTCTGCTGAAATAAGTATTATTGAACCAAGAATGAGCTACGCACTTAATTGCAATTCACAAGAGAAATTATGTACGATACCATCACTAATGTCGTTCGGGAATTATGCAACCATGATCATCTTACATACAGTAATCTATTCATTGTCGTGATGGAAAATTTGATATTGAATTTTATAAAATTTAGTTGGCTGTTCAAAGTTTTCGCTTTATGTTTTTCTGCATTCTACCTGTTCTGCTACAAAACAGTTTTGAATTATCTCTCAACTGAACAGTGTGCTAGCACGAATGTTCATATTTAATGTTGACGTAGTCCTGTATCATTTATTTGTTTAACATGAAGAAGGGTAATTTTGATTCGTGGAAGAATGTTTTATATGGAAAACAACTATTCGCTTAGGATTTTTATTTCTTCAGCTTGAAGTTGGTTTTCGATTGGTTTTATTTTTCACCGGACAGATGGACTGTGCGCATTTTCTTCGTTGCGAACATAGTCTTTTGTATGCAGTATTCATCTGACTACCCCGCTTCCTCGCGTATACGATGTCAATTTCCCAAGAAGTATATTTTATTGCAGAGGGCCATTTTCTTTGTAGGTAGTATGCCTGAGCAGTCGTTGTGATGTTTCGATTTGGTGAGGAAGCGGCTCACGTGTAAGGTCTTTTTCGATTGCGGTGTCCTGAGGATTGTGGACCCTCATCATAGCAGCATCTCTGTAAGACAAGTTGTTAGTTAAGATTATTAGGTTTTTTTACTTTAAAGTGACCAAAAGCAACAGTTTTAATTAACATTGTAGCATTTGACACCCTACCCCGCCCCCAATGAAAAATTCTGACCTTAGCAAACTCTGAAATGATCTACATATTGTTTGCATGTTCAGTGTTTAGTATTACAGGCTGAAGCAGTGCTTTTTGCAGGAAATATTTTAGTTGTTCATTCGTCTGGCTGAACTCAAAGTACGTCAGAGATCGTACGTTTCTCCGATTCTGTTTGTGCTCTGTTGTAATGATTGACTAGTCACACCGGGGTTACACAGACGGTAAATTGTCGGACTTAGAACTGAGACGTCCTAAGTTCAAGTCCCTATCGAATTACTCGCCTTTCTTCCTTCTAAGATTGATAAATGAGTATCTTTTTATGGTAAGGAAAAAGGACATGGCACGCTTTGCTTTTCACATGGCTGCGTTCATTTCTACCTTTAAAAGAAGCCACTTTTGGCTGACGATATTGAAATGGAGATCAGCGCCCCACTCGTATAGAAAGTGTATCAATCATGAAACTGTAAGGAGGATCAACATTCCAAAACTGACACATTTTACTTTTCCTTCTTCGCGAATGCTGTCTCTGATCACCCAGTCTCCGCTATCTCTAACATATGCCTAGCGACACTACCTTGTTCTCCACTGTGTATTCGTAATATAATATTTTTTTACTACGATATCCAGCAGTACTGTGAATTCGAGCCTGATCTTAAATGCTGACTGATCAAATCTGTCTTCTGTGCGTTCTATTCCTCCCGATTCAGAAGTGAGACAATTCCTGAGACTGTTGTGGTTTCCGAACATCAGCATACGGTATCTAAGTTTCACTCAGTCTAGTGCTTAGCTCTCATGATCGATTCGCACCTATTGGTGATGGTCTGGAGGTGTTTTATACACGAGAGGCTGAAATGCTTGCTGTAAAACAGAAAGGATGTCGGGAGTTCATCCTTTTCTGCTCCCCACAGTTAAAATATTGACCACCTGATCCAGTGATTTTGGAAGCAGTGGTAGTTTGATCTGGTACAACAAATTTCTATTATCTTTCATGTTTCTGTCGGGCAGCAGTCAGTCAGTAGTTGTCTTTGGGGTTAATACATCTCCAGCTTTTCTTTCTGCTCTCTAACTTTTCTCAGTGCTCTACTGGGAAAACATTAAGCGAGAATCAGGGATTGTCTGAAAACTTTGGCGTATGTTAATGTAGTCTCTGTGGTCAGAAGTGCTGATAATCAGGTGAGTAAAATATTTGCCGACAATAAGCACCCACTGCACTAGCCGTTACCACGATAATACGATTTTATTGATGAACGCCGTTGTATAGTATTTTAGACTCAAGCATTGTTTCGTTGTCCTTGGGCAAGGACTGTGCAGGTCTTCAAAGGTGTTCCCAGTACACCGTGCATTTGAGATTAATGAAGACTTCTAATACAGGCCTTATTGAAGACGTTGCTAGTTTAAATCATAACCTTGATCTATTTGCATAAGCAGAATGCCTTTGATTTGTGATAATCGCTGTGTTTGCAGGAATTTCATCCACTCCGTAGGCCTTCTTCACCTTGAGGTGCAGCAAGGTTCTATCTTATTTCTCGTTTGATGGGTGGACCTATGCTAACCTCTCGTGTTGTCAGAGAATCAACGGTCTGAAATGACGAATCTGAAGGAAGCAGCTGCTGGAAATGCCAAGCTAACATTTTAAAGCGTCCCTTCTGACCTTACAGTCGCATACCCTTAGCGTCTTGGTCAGGGATAAAATGAATCACTTGCATGCCGGACAACTGTCACACCTGCTAACGCTCCTCTTCGTTCACCCTTTTTCGGCTGCCTTATCTACCTTCTTGATTTTCCCTTCCAGCCAAAGTTTCCTGTATGCTTGTAGCTATGCTTGACTGCGCGAACAAAACGGCGATGAACTGTCTTCAGAGGTGCAATGTAGTGTTGCAAGTAATCCGTCTTTTCCTGATTCATTTGCATTCTGAAGGGTAGAGTTTTGTCCATAACCTAGTGCACTTTGGTTTTTTTCTTCGTTACGCCAACTACGTTTTCCTTCGAGAAATTGACGGCTTCTTTGAAGTCTTTGTGAACTATGTCGATATGGCATTTCCTCACTGGGTACTGAAATCCTTTCTTAACATCGAACAGCTTGTGTTTCAACCAAACGACATCGATGCGAGACGGCTATTCTGTATGGCGTCACGTACGACCATATGGTGATCAGACCCTATGGAGATGTTGTCCGACTCGAGTAACGAAGTGTATCACTGTTGATGATGATGACTTGTTCGAGCTGATTCCACCAGGGAATGCCCAGGTGAATTCAGGAACGGTTGAATACGACTCGAAAAGTTCACTGCAAAATTTTGCATAACTGACAATTATGTTCATTTAAGTCTTATTTTGTTTACTGTTAGAATCATTTCAAAAGTTATTTTACTTTACTGTAGTCATTGTTTGTTTTCACAACTTTTGTTAGATTTGTAGAGATGACTGATTGCAGCTGTCTGTCTGCAACTGCGTCACTGTGCCTGTGCTGTTGTAGTTTCTTTTGTGAGTATTTCTTCTTTCAACTGCTACAGAAATTGAGGACGATACGTTTGTTTAATTTTCTTCATTGCTTTTTAGTTTCATTACTCTTCAGTGCTTTTTAGTTGTTTTTGAATAATGCTCTTATTTAGTCATGAAACTACTCGGTCTCCTCGTTTGTTTAGCGGCATTTGCGCTGCATTGTTTGTCTTTCACAATCGACATCGATGCCAACGCAGAGCGATGTTATTTCGAACGAGTTACGGCAGGTACGAAGATGAGTCTGATTTTTGAGGTTGCCGAAGGCGGTTTCTTGGACATAGACGTTAAGGTACGATGTGCACTGATTCACCAGTGCTTGTTAATCAGTGCTTTCTTCAGATAACTGGTCCAGACTCAAAAGATGTGTACAAAGGAGAGAGGGAATCTTCTGGGAAATTTACGTTTTCAGCTCATATTTCCGGAGAGTACAGATATTGCTTCAGTAACCAGATGTCAACGATGACACCGAAAAGTGTCATGTTTTCGATGAATATAGTTAAAGGTACTACGGGAAGCAACGCTACGCCAGAAGGTACGGTTTGTTCCTTTTATTTTAAATAAATCTAACGGTTTGATGAACTAATAATTATTGAATATATAAGCCATGAACTGCAGTGTTCGTTCGTCAT